TGACCTTTCCACCGTGCCGTTTCACCAGCTCTTGAGCTTCAGTGCGACCCCACTTCTGCAGCACTCCGGTGAAGACGAATGTGAGGCCTGCAAGACATGTCTCTGAGCCTGATGGCATCTCACTAGATCCGCCTCCGAGTGGTGCAGCTTCCCCACGACCTGCATTCGCCTGCCAGTTGAACTTGGCATTGTCGTCTTTGGGTGGTGGAGTGGGCGCGCGCACTGTAGGGATGCTGTCGTAGATGGCCTGGATATCCGCACTATCCTCAACCTCTTCCTTCTTGGCCTTCTTCTTCGCTGGCGACTTCGGTGTCGTCGTTGTAGCCTTCTTCGGTCGTCCTTTCTTGGGCTTCTCCTCCTCTTCCTCTTCGTCGTCGGATATGGGTGACTTTCGCTTCTTGCCTGCAGTCGATGTCTTCTTTGGCTTGCTCTTCAGCGCTTGCTCATCCTCGTCGGGCTCCACAAAGTCGTTTTCTGCGTCGATGTCCTTCATATCAATATCTTCGTCTTCTGGATCGAAGTCGTCTTCCTCCTTGATCGCTTTCTGTTGCTTGGCTGGGGCCTTTGGTGTTCCGCGATGTGGCAGCTTCACAGGTACGTCGTCATCGCTGTCCGAGGCTTCCTTGTAGTCGTCCTTGCCTTTGCCCTTGATGTTGGCTTCGAAGATATCGTCCGCGTCCTCTAGGTCGTCGTCCGGGAACTCGTCCTCGTCATTCCGCTCCGCGTAGGATGTAACGGGTTTCTTCGCTCGGCCAGATGCCTTAGCATTGGTGGCCGGAGTAGCCGTTTTCGAGGCCTTCCCATTCGCCTTCGCAGCTGCCTTCTTCGGTGTCGCAGCAGGTGCATCCGCCGCTTTCTTCTTCACAGGCTCCGTTCGCTTGGGCTTATTCGAGCTGGCAAAGAAGTCGGATGTGGTGGTCTCTTCGAGGACGGGTTCTGGCGTCGGTTCGCGCTTGACCTTCTTTGCGGCCGGCTTCTTTGGTGTCGCTTTCTTCGGCCTGTAAACTGTCAGGTTTGACGTCACCAAGCAGAAATTGTACACTCACTTCGCCTCTTCCTCATCATCGTCGTCAGAGTCCTCCACGACACGACTTGTGCGACCCTTCTTCTTAGTTGCGGCCTTCTTCGTTGCAGGCTCATCTTTCTTCTGCGATCCCTGGCTTGCCTTCGGGGGCCCGCCGCCAAAGAAGCTGCGGATGTCGGCAGGCATCTTGACGATGAAAAACGCGTGTAATCAGATTGTGGCAGTGTGACGCGTTCGCTGACAAGTGTTGAGCCAAACAATGGGGGGAAACGGGGTTTGGGTGGGTTGATGGACAACAGGCGCCATTGACGTGCACGACGCGACTTCGCGCGGTCATTAGGCAATTAGGCAGGCGCATTGACGCCACACCCCCGCGTGCGCCACAGCAGCCACAGACATGTCTTGGCATCAGAACTTCGACACCAAAGTTACGGAACGGCCTGGTAAAGGTCCAACATCACAACGCCATGCCGCCACCAAGGATATCACAAAGCCTACTGGCTCAATTCGGCCGATTAAACATCTCTGCGTCAAGGCCTACACGTATGACGCTCAATTCCCACCTCCGACAGCTCTGCTAACAAGCACCCAGTCCTCCAACAGACATGCCTCTCCAAACCCCAACCCTCCGCCCTTAATACCACCCGCCTCTTCTCCACAACCCGTCCCACTCTCAACTACCTCGCCCCCAAAGCCGGCGAATCACGCAAATCACGAAAAGGGCGCTGCCGCGTCCCCACAGGCGGCAGCATGCGCGGCACAACCGTCGTCTGGGGCGACTACGGTCTCCGCATGCGCGACCACGACCGCCGCATATCCGCGCAACAACTCCGCATCGCCGAAGAAACCATCCGCAAGCGTCTCCGCGGCATGAAATTCCGGCTCTACATGCGCATCGCCGCCAACATCGGCGTGTACACCTCCGGCAACGACGTGCGCATGGGCAAAGGAAAAGGTAGTTTCGACCGCTGGACTGCGAGGGTGGCGGTGAGCAAGATCATCTTTGAGATTCAGGGGGATTTGCACGAGCAGGTTGTTAAGGATGCGTTTAGGCTGGCGGGGAATAAGTTGCCGGGGTTGTATGAGTTTGTGAGGAAGGGGGATGCGCCGGTTATGGGGATTACGAAGGTGGGGTTGAATGGGGTTACGGAGGAGGATTTGAAGAGGCCGAGGAGGAAGGAGCCGCTGGAGCAGACGGCTGGGAGGATACCTGATGCGGGTTCGTCTGCGCCGGCGAATGGGCCGAGGGTGGAGATGTAGATGGGGGTTGGGATGGAGGCTGTGGACCAGAAGAATTGAGGTCGTCTGCCAATTCAGCTGCGTGGACGATGTTATCAAGTGTAAATGCAATATGTAGCATGTATCATAAGAGAACATGTATTGAACTGTACAATTTTGAAATCGACAATGGACAGTATGATCATCATCAACCCTGAAGAAAGCACAACAAATAATGAATGGGGTATGTAGGTATCAACACGCCAGCCCAGCTCTCGCCTCATCAATCAAAACATTCCCCTCACGCCTTATACAAAGTATCCAAAAACCCCTTCGCCAAATCCACAACAACACTCTTATTCGGCAAGCTGCCCGCAACACCATACAACGCAGCCGTATCCCCCTTAACCGCGCCCTTCGCGCCCTTACCCTCCGCAATCCTCTTCCGCTCAGCATCCCTAACCTCCTCCGTAACCTCAACCAGATCCTCAATAAGCTTATCCACCACCGCAACAATCGGCAGCGTGACAGCAATGTGAATAGCAGGCGGGTTCTGGAGCGCATTTAAATGCCAGCCTTTACCCGACATGCCATCAGCGATGTCGTAGATATCGAGGGTGTTGGACAGGAAAGATACGACAGAAACCATGGGCCGACCGATGATCTTGAGATCAGACGCGAGTTCAGGTTTCTCGCGGATGGCGGTTTCGATCTTCTTCATGCCGCCGACGATTTTGTGGCAGGCGTCGAGGTAGCCGTTTGCGCCTTGCTTGACGAGACTGGCCCAGCAGCCTGCGATTAGGGCACCGGGGCGTGAGCCAGCGATGGAGGGGGATGCATAGACGCCGCCGGACCAGTCCGGCGAGATGAAGTATTGGTACTTGCGGTATACGTCGGAGCGGTAGAGGACTGTGGAGTTTCCTTTGGGCGCGAAGCCGTATTTGTGCGTGTCGCAGGAGATGCTGGTTACACCGGGCAGACGGAAGTCGAAGGGCTCGAATTCGAAACCTGCTTTGGGGAGCATGGGGATGATGAAGGAACCTAGACAGCAGTCGACGTGGAGGGGAATCTTCTTCTTGACTGCGAGTTTACTGAGGCCGGAGATGTCGTCGATGATGCCGTGGGGAAAGTTGGGCGCAGAGCCGACGAGGAGGACGGTGTTCGGGTTGATGAGACGGGAGACGGAGGGTAGGTGGACCTTGTAGCTCGGTGCTTTGCATGCCACGAGGTGCATCTTTATCTTGAAGTACTCGCAAGCCTTGCGGAAGGCCGTGTGTGCGGTTTCAGGCAGGATCATCTCAGGCTGAGTGACGCCACGCTCAGCGTACGCCTTGTTGCGTGCGGAGAGACAGGCCATGAGGATAGACTCTGTGCCGCCAGACGTTGTAACACCAGCCGCATCGTCTGGTGCGTTGAAGAGGGAGAGCACCATAGCCACAATCTCGGCTTCCATCTTCCTCACACCAGGGAACACATCCGGGTGGATGGGGTTCGCAACAGTGAACTTGCCAAACGCCTCCGTCTGCAGTCTGATCAACTCCTCCCCACCGTGGTATACCGCACCGCTGACTCTTCCATCTTCCCACCGAGTATGCTCCATATCAGCCAGTTCGCCCAGCTTCTTGCGCACCTCCTCTTCGCTCCATCCTTCGGCGGGCAAACTGGTGATGCGCTCGACGCCGGGACCGCTCGGAACAAGTTTGCGTTCGAGTTTTAGGAGCGAATCAGACACCTGTGCCTGTACCTTGTCGCGCACGCCGGGAAGTCGCAGGAAGACGCCGTAGAGGTAGCGGCGAATGCTGATGTAGGCATCGCTGATGGAGCCGAAGATGCCGCGTCCTTTGAGTTGGTAGAAGGTGATGCGTGTCCAGCGGAGGAGGAAAAGGACAAAGATGATATTGCGCAGGCTAGATATCTCATGTCAGTATTCCGCTCTATCACTTATCGTTATCGGAAGGGAGGAGCGCATACACATCGATGTTCAAGGCGACGAGCTGGCCATTAGCGGAGCTCTTCCGCGCATTGAAAGTGTCGCGGAGACTGACGGGTAAGCGCGACGAGCCGGGCATCGTGGGCGGGGTGGGCGGGATGGGCGACTGTGTGTAGGGTATCAATCAAGTCTACGCCAAAGACATGATAGTAGGAATGTGGAGTTTGGGTCGCGGGTTGGCGCTCTGGTTAAGCATTTGCAAGAGGGCTTGCCATGTACGTCAATCACATGTCGCAGCCACTGGCGCAACGGCTTCGGACTGCCGAGGAACCCGCCTCCGAGATCCTAGCGGGGCATTTCCTCTTGAGGAAGTTACGCCTACATCGCAGCCATTCGCAGGAACACCTAAAGTAATAGCAGTCGGATCATATTACTAGAGTCCCGAAGATGCTGAAGCAAAGAGAAAGTAGACATACATGATCTGTAGCGGGGGTGCAGATGAATTCCACCTCCACCCCACCTCCTCCCCTCCGCCTCCCCCACCCACCCTGCTACTCCTACATAACAGCCACTCGCAAGTAACATCAAGCCATAGTAGTCGGATTATATTATCTGAGATAGAGTGACAGAGGCCATCAATCAAAAGTCTAAGTTTCGACAGGCAAAAGCCATGAAGCTGCGGAGGATTTCGACCCCGCAGCCTCCCCCGCCCGCCCCGCTACGCCTACACAACAGCCATTTGGAAGGCTTGGACACTGAAGAGAAGCGAGATCATGGTAATGGTAGTCTGATCGTATAACTTGGAGCCAAGATAACTACACCACCAGCCTAATCCATCATACCATGCCACCTCCAATGCGCACCCATAGCGAAACTCGGCATAACAGCACCACACTCCTCACAGCGAAAAGAATCGGCATCTGTCATATCTTCTCCATCCTCCTCCCAAACATCCTCTACATCCACAGGAGAACCAATCTTCTGTGACGAAGTGGGCAAATCCTCAGAACCTTGCCTGTGAATAATTTCACCTGTCGGCCAAGCCTCGTCCATCATGTATTCAAGGCGTTGCTGCCGCGCTGATTGTAACCAGGGCGGCTCGTCTGGTGATGGGGAGGCTTCAATTTGAGGCTGATGTTCGTTGACGAAATCTTCTTCGACTTGAACATGCTCGTCGCTCACGAAGTCTTCTTCGAGTTGAGCTTGCTGTTCACTGACGAGATCTTCTTCGAACAGGGATGGCTCTTCATCCATCATGTATTCCCGTCGTTGCTGTCGCGCTGATTGTAACCAGGGCGGTTCGTCTGGTGATGGAGACGCTTCAACTTGAGCTTGCTGTTCACTCACCCATTCTTCTTCAGGTATAGATGGTTCTTCGTCCATCATGTGTTCTTGTCGTTGCTGCCGCGCTGCTGCCAACCAGGGCGGTTCATCTGGTGATGAAGATGCTTCAACTTGAACCTGTTCTTCACTCACCACCTCATCATCCACCCTCCATTGCCTCAACACCTCATCCTGCCTCCTAAACATCTTCCCAATATCCCTCCCCACGCCACCCCTCTCCCTCGCCGCATCCGCCATATTCGTCGCCGCAACATTAACCAGACTAAGATTCCATCCCTTCTTCTCCGGATGCAGCTTGCGAAACAGCGGTAGCAACGTCTCGGACAGCAGCTTCTCAACCACGGCATCCACAGTATTATTATTATCGTCTTTTAGGCTGAAGACAAACGTTGGCATGGGTCCGGATTTGGATATGCGTGCAAAGGACCGATTGCGGGTGCCATCTGGGTTTTGGGGCGCCCGTGGTCGGGTTGATAGTCGGAGTGTTTTCGGGTGAGCGAGCCAGCGCTTCATAGGCTTTGAAGTGGTGGCGGAAGTTGGAGCCGTGGATAGGTCGTGTGCATCGTCATCTTCTTCTAGGAGATCGGTGTGCATTCGCTCGAGCAGTCTTTTCGCTAGCATGCGAAGCTCTTTGGTCACGGCTTCAAGTGTGTCTAGGCGCATGTAGCTGTCTTCTATACTGATCTGACGCGGTATTTCGCGTGCTTGGCCGACTTCTGTGTCGTCACAGCCGTTTAGTAGACCCCACACTTTGGTCCCGGTGCCATGTGGTACGCCCGGACCACCGAGTATCCGCTCCAACGTCTCCGGACCGATTCCAGGATGCGTCCTTACATCGCGGACAAGAACAGCCTCTTTAGTCCCACCATACACCAGTCCAGCATCAAATTCTGCCGGCCGCTGCAGTAGGTGGGTACGGAGCTTTTGTGCTATCTTGAACCCTATGCCGGGAATCTTGCCGACTTCGTGATCATCGATGAAGGCAGTCACGTTGTCGATAGTCTCATCGTCTTCACCAGATGTATAGGGCGGGACCAGTGTAGTCTGAGCATTGGGCTTGTATGTGTTGCCAACAAGCTTTGCCAGAAGCTTGTTAGTAGAGATGCCAACCGTGGCCGTGTAGCCCTTCTCTGCCTCGAGTCGAGTTCGCACGTAGTGTGCTAGATGGCTTCCTAGAGCCAATCGGAGGTGTAGCAGATCGGGCGTGGTGCCTACAATCGATCAGTTCCAACGTTCGGCTATGTACAGCATCTATGGCGCATACGGTGGGCACCTGCATAATCGAATCACAGACTGTTGGTGGCAGTCCCATAGGCACGGTTGCTGGTCTCAGTAGCCGCAAGGATTCAGCAAGGGCTGTCAGCCTTGCCGTTCGCGGTCCATTCCAAGAAGATGTTTTTGCTACGCCACACCGTATGCGCCGTGTACAGCTTACCTAAGTGTTCAGAGGCCGTTTTGGGGTACAGATGACCCCTCAGCCGCGTCGCATCGTAAGGAAACCCCACAGTGGGATCGTTCCTGTCGAGACAAAAGAAGGCGTTGCTGAGGTCATTAGAGTTGAGAATGCTGACATTGTAGTCGATCATGTCGGTGACATCTAAAAACACCTAGCCCGCCTTAGCATGACTCGCATGAACGATACGGTGAGAGAACAGAAAGCGTTGGGACTGAAATGAGATTGCAAAGGTGGCGGTGCTGAGACACGAGGGTTGGGACGGAAAGATAACCAGAGAGACAAACCTCATCAAAGCCTAGGCGTTCACAACGAGAGTTCCAGGAAAACGATCGCAAGAAAGCATAGAGTTCTTTAGAAGCATTCCGGAAGCGGGTAAGATCCTCGCCCAGGACGATGACTACATCTGGGCAGACCTTCTTCGCTTCGTGGATCAGCTGCAGCTTGTGCAAGCCCTGAGAGAGTCAGACTGGGTGGATGACACGGGCACGGCGGTAGTCAAGGGATCGTACGCGTCGGCGGGCCTCATAGTTGCATGTGACGACTATCTGTTTTTGCTGCACGGCCAGTGGCAAGCGTCGTAATGCTGGGTTTTCATGTTCAAATACGCTGGCGTAGAAGCAGTCCTGTGGGGAGGGGCACGGTAGACGTTATCTTCTGCGCATTCAAATACGTAGACTCGGCCGCACGCGGTAAGAAGTACGTACGTAGTCCTGTGGATACGAGGGAAGGTTAGTAGGTGAGGCCGAATAGGGCGACCAAGGCGTGAAGGCTGTGCCTGGTGCTTACGAACAAAGTGGACGATGACGGAGCCAGTCTGGCGTTTCAGTTTCTTCATGGAAGAGGCAGGCAGAGAAGCGCCGGTGTTGTGCAGCAGTTTCAGCGGCGTGCGTGTCGTGTGGAGATGCAGGTGGTGGTGCAGCGGGTGATGAAGCGCGCGTGAAGGCGCGACGTGTGTGGCCAGGTGCGAAACGCCGCCCGTGGTGCCAAGCGCCGGGCGCGGGTAGCCCAATTATGTTTGCCACGCTGCATCTATCTTTGGACAAGCCTAGTGGCTGCTGGGTATTTTGGGAGCAGCCCCAGCCAGGCGCTTCGTGTTAAGACCGTCCTGGTGGATCCGCAGCCGACATGGCAGTGTTTAATAGCGATGTGCCCCTCTAGCACTCGCCTGTCCCCAAGTATTCGCAATATCATCTGCACACTTCCGGCACCAGCCTCATACCCGTGGACACCCCCCACATGATGCTGTCCACCCTCCAGCCCTCCCACCCAGCATCATCTGCCATGTCCGGTATGACCTCAATGACTTCCTCCATGGCCGCCTCGCTGCCTATAATACCCCCGCGCCAGGCCCCGCCCCGGCCCAAACTCTCCATCAACACTGAGCAGCCGCGCATCCTGGGCAAAGGTGCCAGTCTCCGTCTTGAAACCCTCAGTGCCGTCTCGCCCACCGTCCGCAACACCTTCTCCAACGCCTATGAGCGCCCGGCGACTGCCCCAACACTACAACGCCCCTCAAGACCCCAGCTCTCCATCGAGAGCGACGTGCCCACCACCAGCGGCTCTACCAGCGCATCCACGCCAAGTTCAGCGTCTACCCTCTCCTCCACCCTCACATCGGCCTCCAACGACTCGGCCACCCTCTCAATACCCTACAAGCAACCCCACAACCTCGCCTCCATCCTCTCCAACAGCCCCGCGCGCTCGATAATACCACGCAAGATGGGCTCCAGCCGGCCCATGTTCCCCGCCGAGAAGCGCGTCTCCTTCCGCACACCACTGGAAGAGGAGATCACCACCACCAGATACACCCTCGCACATTCCGACATTGAGTCTTCCGTCTCAACACTCTCCTCTCTCGCATCCACCGCCTCCACCACCGACTCCGACGCCTCGACATCACAGCCGTCATTAAGTCTCAAGGCTCTGAAGAACCCCTCCGAAACCAGCATATCGCCCCTCCAGCTCTCCCTCATCAGCACATCGTCCTCCGCAGAGAGCTCACCAAGACCAAAGTCGCCCCGCACAGGCGAGAAGCGCGACTCGTCATCTTCAGACGACGACAGCGACTCAGCTCCCGAAACTCCCGTCGCCGGACGACGGAAGCGGACGCGAGACTGGCGCTGGACACTCGGACCCTTGCCTTCAGACAACAAATCGTCAGTATCGTCGGCGAGCGATGCGACGATCAGCGAGGACAGCAGTTGATGGGTTGACGGCGCGCATGATTACGAACTGTACAGAGTGGGACGAAGACAACGGATGCGGCGTTACATTCCCATGGCATTTCTCGGTGTTTTATTTGTCACTTTCCATGATACCACATTTGCATATCTCTATTGTCCTGGACGAGACAATCGCTAGCATCGCATTACATTGCATTTACTATTACTTTAACTACCATCATCAAATCTACATACTACTACTCTGCTCTCGAAAATGAGCGGACCGACACTACACTACATACATTTGACTTGCATACCACTATATTAAACACTGCACATCACACTCTTTTCGACTCGACTTGACTTGACTTGACCATGACCCTCCCAACCAAGTGCAAGTCTTATCCGAATCCCCCTCGCGATCATCACTCCTCGGCCATGTGACAGGATCGGCTGCCGATCGAACATCGAACGGCGGTGCGTGCGGGACAGCCCACAGCCACCGACCGCACATGACAAGGGCCCCAACATCGCAAGTCTACGCGACACACAACTAGTTGCCAGGGTCTCGGAAAGCAAAGCAATCACAACGAGCAAAACGTCCATGATCCCGAAATAACACTACATTACGTGCGTACACATGCTTCGTTTTTGCGTCCGCCTCCTCACTGCAACGGTCCTGACTTGCATATCCGTGTGCATGTGCAGCAACCATGACATCACCGCCTATCTACCGGGACCAACCCAGCCACCAAGCTTACCTCAAGGATAAATTGCGTACCCGCTTTGAGAGTAGGCTACGGCAATTTGTAGATTGCGCCTCCATCTTGAGTCACTTCCGTAACAGGATGTGAGATCCGGATTCTCCTCTCGATGTCTGCTCGGAATCGAACTAGGATAACGTGGCTGGCGGGAGGAGAGAGAAGCACCGAAGATTCAGGATACGAAGTTGTGCCGGCTTGGCTTGGTGGTAACTGGGTGGGTATGGAATGGTAAGGTGGAGGGGCAGGCTGCACGTGATACTCTGGGGACGGCCCCCGTTGTAACAGAAGCAAGTGCAAGGGTATTTTCAAACCTCGTCGTGTGTTCTTTTCGTTTCAGTTTCATCTTCTGAACACTCCCACCCCACTCTATCCATCCATTCAGCATCTGTGTGTTGTGTTTACGACACCCCACCCATGCAATATCTCTCAAAATAAGCCACAGTGGGACTTATTTTCGCAAGAGTCAGCGTCGCGAATTGTGACAGCTGTCAGATGCGTCGGAAAATATTCGCATCGCACCTGCGAAGTTTCGGCCTTGCATCCAGGCGTTTCGTGCAACACGATGTATTCTCGATGTCTAAACCAGCAGTAAATCCGACGCGGCTTCAATCTCCACAATCGATACTTGGGTAGAAACATACGGGTTATTGTTCGTATCGCGTTCGTGTCTCTACAACTCTAGCGCAATCCAGCCTCAAGTGCTCCCATGTTCCTAGTCTTTTCGGTCCTCGTCTCAGAGCCTGCAAGACATGCAAGCCGCGGCGTAGAACTCGGGTTTTCTTTGTTTTTCCATCTCGTACCTGCAGTACACTACCTTGCGCATTTCTACTGAGCTCACCACCCGGCCGGCGATGGTGGCGCTCAAGCCCCCAGTTGCCCATGCTGCATTCGTCAACTAGGGAACGCGTTGCGCGAACGAACGCACAGCTGCAGCGAAAGAAAACCAGCATCAACCCGCCCGTCTCGCATACACGTCGTCATCGTACCCTCACAAGCGCAAACACGGCAAATTGCACATCTCAACCAGTCCCGCTCCGATCGCATCGATGCAGTCAGCAACGTACATTTTTCATCGCGGGAGTGCTAACGAAACGCGGCTTGCAAGGATCCGTTTTAGTGTGGTGTTCTGGAACGTGAATCGCGTGGTCTGGGAGATGCAGATACGGGATTGCGATGGTATTGCTTTTTAAGGCTAAGAATAGCGTGGGAACCGCTAGTGAACCGTTTTTTTACTCCTGACTTTATCTCATGGGTGCGATGGGATGAAGTGTTTGGGTGGTGCTGTGGAAATTACGGTAGAGACCTCGGGAGTGTTGCGTTGCGTTTTTCTTCTTTTCGACGGGTAGGTGTCATCACGGTGCATGTTCTTTAATTGAATGCCTGTTCATTCAGTAATCATTCGGACATCTCCCGCGGTCGTGAAGTCTTCGACAACAACCTCACCAAAACTAATTGCAAGGCACCGTCCAATCCGCCCAATCATACCCACACAGTGACCAACCCATCTACTACTCCCTTGCTCCCTCCGGAGTCTAGAATCCTATCCTACCGTTTCCGATAGTCCAAGTAGTCCCAGTAGTCCCACCATCAAGCGAGATAACGATCTTCAGGTACAAACTCTACCACCCACCCGTGCCATCCCTCAACCACGTACTCCTCAATCACGCGAACGTGTTCTAGACCAACCTGGTCCGTGTGTGATTATAATAGCGTGTGCGTGCTAAGAGCGCAGGGAGCGGAGTCGGAGTGAGGAGCGGAGCGGAAAGCACGGAAGTGCGGGACTACGGAGATGAGGTGCACGTTGCATGTGCATGGTTGGTGTGGTTGGTGTGGTAGGGGTTGTTGGGTTGTTGGGTAGGGAGGATTTAGGAGGAAGTGAGATGGTTTTAATGAGTTGATGGGGCATTAGTGAACGATTGTTGGCGTTGTATGTGACAATCTTAGAACGTGGCGGAACGCAAACACTGTTGCCGTTTACATGTGTTTCTGGAGAAGAAAGTATAATACAATAGCATCTCTTGAATTGAGTTACTGATACCAAATCTCGAGTCCTTGTCAATCCCAAAGTAGAGTGATGACCTAGTCTATCATCCCCCACGAGTACCAACACCAACTCCAGACGCCTAACCCGCCTATTCCCAACGCCATTGAATCCACGTAAGGCATAACACTCGCTATAGTCGCTCGAAGCTTAACCTTTCTATAGTTTATATAGATTATATAACCTACTACCTATTAGTTAAGTATAAATTTTACTAACGCTTACTAGTAGAGATATAGCTTTATTTTATACTTAAAAAAGCTTAATTACTACTTCTTTTATTCTATTCTATACTATTTTAAATATACTACTATAAGCTAATATATCTACTTTCTTTAGATCTCTAATTACTACTATTATACTTACTACTTAGCTTACTTAGCTATATATAGATAAAGACTATAAAGTAAGCTTTTTCTTTAGCTTATTATTACTAGCTAATAAATTAAAGTAAATACTATAATAACTACTAGAACTATAAGAAGATACTACTCTTATATATAAGTACTTTAGTAAAGCCTAAATATATACTCTAAAATCTAGTCTACTTTTTTATATACGCTTATGCTTCTTATAAAAAGTGTATAGCTTTCTTAAAAAGTACTTTAGAATATAACTCTTTACTAGAGCTAGTATACTAAAGTAAACTATAAAAAATATCTACTAAAGACTAGCTAAAAGCTTATAATAAGATTCTTATAAAGATCTAAGAAGAGAGAAATTACTAGTTATTTATTAGGACTTCTATAAAATCTAGATTAATACAACCTTTTTAAGCTAAGAGCTCTGCAACTCTTTGCTACAAGTAATCTTGTTAGTCTCCAACCGTTAACGCCGTACTCCTCAACACCTATCAATACCCCCAACCTCCATGTGAATATAACGCTTGCGGTGGTAATCCTATCCTTCCCATCCAATCCATAAACGCCATACCCAACTCCATCCCCTCCCACACTCACACACCTACACACCCTCCCCACCCGGCGTAAAATCCAACTTCCCACTCGCCATAGCCCAAACCAACCCGCCCATAATCCCACTCAATATAACCACAATAAAGCACACAAACCAAACCATACTCTTCCTCTTCCTCCAACCCCTCCTCACCCTAGTGATACACCCCCTCCCCTTCTCCCTCTTCTCCTTTCTTTCTTCCGCCAGTTTCTTGGCTGCTGCCTCGGCGGTAAGGCGAGCAGCGCGATCACGCCGCAATTCAGCTTTTTCGTCGTCAGAGATGAGGGAGCGGGGGCGGCCGAGGGGGTGTTTGTGCGTGAAGCGTTTGGTGTAGAGGCCGGAGGCGTGGTTATTGGTGTTGGTAGAAGGATAGGGGGTGGTAGGAGTGGGGGGATAGCCGTCGGAGGAGAGAGACTCGGGGACCATTTTTGTCTCTGAGATGGCGTGGTCGCGCCAGGCGGCGTGCCGGCTATCCAGTGTGCCGTCTTTAGACCATTCGATGACATCCTCGATCGCGTTTGTGAGACCATCGCCTTCGAGACTATACGTCAGCGCCTCCCAGAGCTGGAGGTCGATCTTGCGGATGTCCACGCCGGCCGTAGAAAGCGTATCCGCAATCTTCTTCCAGGAGTTCTTGGCGGAGGGGTCAACACCAGACAAGCTCGCTGGATTGCGGACGTAGAGCCAGGATTGTGCCTGGTCGACGAAACTGTCGAGGGAGATGGCGGTTTGCTTTACGCCGAGGCCGACGGTGTGGTTGTAGAGAACGAGGTTGTTGTCTTTGCTGATGGGGAGGCCTTGGGGGTACCAGTTGTTTTGTGCCTGTCGGGCAAAAGGGAGGGTGCGGAGGGAGCAGAGGATGGCCATGAGGGCGCGGTCGCGGTCGGTGTACGTGTGGTGGTGTGGTCCGGCTGAGATAGAGTGGAGGTCGTAGAGGGTGGATTCGGGCGCGTGCTTGAAGTCGTCTTCGATGATGGCTTGGATGCGGTCGACCATGTTGCGGGTGCTGAGTACTGTGTTTGCGTTAGCAAGCAATTCGAGAAGTGTGGCTGAGGGATCCGGTCCGCATCTCTTCTCGGTTCAACTATTACTAAAGCAGAGCTACTCACAGTAAGGCAGAGCATCGCAGACCCGACACAGCTTCAACCCCATAAACTCAACCACAACATTCTTAACTGGCTTCTCATTCACCGCAGGCACAACTAGCACCCCATCCCCAACTCCTCCATAGATAGTATGCTTCGTTCTCGGAGAAGACGCTCCAGAACTGCTTTGTCTGGGCGACCGTACAGTATGCACACTCGACGAGGAAGAATTCCACCCTTCATTGCCGTCAGGCCCAAGCCGATAGCCGTTGGGTGTTGTGTGTGCTTGCTGAGGGACGCTGGGTCTGGAAAAAGACTTTGACGTGGGAGGCGAGGGAGGTGCCGATGACAATGTAGAAGATGACGATGCGAACGATCGGTCCTGGCTGGTGTAGCTATCCGCATTGGGGGTACTGTAGGCATGGCACGGTTGAAGTGCCGGATGCTCTTCATGATTGACAGTGGCGGACAGTGAGCGTCTCCATGCGGCTTTTGAGCTCGACTTATCAGCGGGGACGATAGTGTCCTGATGCAGTGTCAATGGCTGTTTCGGTGTGATGAGTGAGTTTGCGTACCTTGCTACCATGCCGCGATGGGACGCCGTCGTCGCATCGCGATGTTGTAGCCATTGCGATGCACGGCGGTCAATGAAGCGATGAATGAAAAGAAAAGAGACACTCAGTCCATCGACATGAACTGCATATAAGAGGAGAGATCAGGCAGTTGGAATATCGAAATGCAAGATATGCGAGGAGGAAAGGGATTGTATCAAGTCGGCTTCTGGCCAATGCGTACTGGCATTACACGTCGACGAGCACCAGACCGATTCGCTATCAGACCCCTCACGATACACACAATCATGTTCTCATCAGCACTCGACATCACTCATGTGTATGGTGCGTGTTGTGGATCGCGACCCTGGATCGCTCAACAACCACTGGATGTGTGACCCCTCACCTTGATCCACGCCAATACAGCTGAGCTACCAGACTTGATGAAGTGAATTGTTTCGCAACGTTGTTTGTTGATTCGTAGTTGGTATTTGAACGCGCGGGCGGCCACGACGACGGTCGCTTCGAGAACTGCAATTGTGCCATATCCAGCCTCAATTGTCGTCATTCAGTGCTTTGGCATCTTCTACCGCCGCTCTAGCAATCTTCTTCAGCAGAGATTTGAAGTCCGCCTCCCGGAATTTTTCCCAACGATCCAAACCCTCGCTCGCATCGATCGACAACGTCTCGTACCCCTGTTTGATGACGGCGCTGACTTCTTGCGGGCTAAGATGCTTGGACCGCGCTTTTCCATTGCTCTCCAGCAGGGATTGGTAATGTGAAGACACATTGATGAGCGTCTGCATGGAGTCTGATTGGCCTGATAACCCAAATGTGTCCCGGAACTTGATCAGTGTGTCGCCGCTTTCCACGAGCTTGTAGAATAAGTCGTCATACGATGCAGGGTCGGGCAGGAAGTTCTCTCCGCTAGACAGTGCAAAGGCCAGCAGATTGACAAGTATGTTGATCATTCCGTTTGATTTGTAGTTGGACTTGATGTCGCTTTCGTAGGTGGTGAGGAAGCGGACGAAGGAGAGCAGGGTCCGCCACAGCTCCGACCAATGGTATGTGATGCGCGTCTTGGTTCGACTGAGGTGCGAAAGGAGACGTAATAGAACGCCGAGGCAGAGGCTGGGAGCGGATTAGCCAAGTATGTGCCATATTGGGACTCAGACTCACATGTAGAAGTCAACGTCTAATCGCCTCCGCAGGTTATGGCTGATGGCGTCAGACATCATGTCTAGTATGACAGCTGCAGGGACACGATCGCCCCTCACTGCCGGCAGGTAGGGCTGTCTCTGACGGCACAAGCGCACCGAAAGCTTGGACTCGTCACTGCATAGGCGTTTGGCGAGCTCTCGGTCTTCGACAAGTATTTGCAGCACGAAGAGGCTGAGGTATGTGTACAGTGCGGCCCTGGTAGACCGATGCGCGTGTTGAAACATGTAGGACGTCAAGGAAAGGTATGCGCTCAGCGGCGAGGGCTCGTTCTTGTCCGCTGGGGCTGACTTGACTAGGTTGAAGCAGAAGACTTTGTTCGCGTTGGCGAAGTCGTACGTGGAGAGTAGTACGCCAATCTCAGGTCCTGGTCTAGACAAACGTTAGCCATGAGCAGTGACTGCGACCATGAGTGCTCACAATGCAGCGAAGAGCGACTTCGCGTCCTCTGGAGCCGGCACAGGTGTCGTTGGCCGGGAACTGGGAGCAAGAGCACCCAGGCCAATATAACTCAACGTCGAGCCCAGCGACCAGCCCTCTGGCATGTCGTCCTGTACAGCTACATAGGCGTCCCGCAGCTTTGTACATGTATTCCCAAAACAAGCGACCATATCCTGTATGATAGCATCGTTGACAAAGTCGTCTAGCCGCAGTCTATACGGGTTCTGAAACTCGAATTTGTTGTAGTTGGTGAGAAGGCCGAGGAGATAGAGCGCGGGGAGAACTTGGGTGCTGTCGTCGCAATCTTGGATGTACTTCATGAGCGAGGGAAAAAGGTCGCGATGAGTAAAATACGACGGAAGCGCAGTCTGAAAGCCAGCCGCAGTAATCGAGAGCGCCACTCTCACAGCCCTCAAACGCAAAGGAACTGCTTTTGGTCAGCCTGTCCCTCTCCAGCATCCACCCTGTACATACTATCCCTTCCCCCCCGTATCGCCGTATCCAGCGTCGCAACAAACTCCGTCATAACCGCATCCGCATCATTCAGCCCCGTAAGAACAGCTATGATATCGGCGCTAGGATTCGTGTACTTCTTCGTGAGTGCGGCATCGAGGAAGACTGTCAAGGTCTAAGCGGTAAGCGCATGGAGAAGAAGAAGGTGTGTGTGCGTGGGTGGGTGGCATGGGTACCTCGAGGGCGATTTCGTCGGCGGGCGCGCTGGCTTGCTTGACGCGGAGGATGGCCTGGCTGAAGAGTGCCTGCGAATGCGCTTGCTGGTGCAGCATCTCGTCCGGCGTTACCGAACTGAGTATGCGCTGAAGGCCGGTGGGGTCGGGGCGGTGGAGGAAGAATTCTTGCCAGAAGCCGGCGGATAGCTCGACTTCTTCGTCGTCTTCCTGGGCATGGTTAGCACTTGGCTGGCTGGCGCAAAGTGGGTGGAGAGGGCGCACTTTGAAGAGGGTTTCGTAGAGGGAGATTATCTTGGGTTGGAAGATTTCCGGTCGCGTGTCCTGCGTCAGCGGTGACGGCTCCATGGTTGTGCGTGCGAGGGACTTTGGGGAATTTATCGTGGGTGATGCAGGGCTTCAGATGGTGGCAGTCGCAGGCGCGTCGCGCAGCATGGGGAACTAGCGGGCCGGTGGGCGATCAGACGCCGACAGCCCCACCATTCACACGTGTGAAGGTAAGTAAGTCGTGTGAGGAGGTTGACTAGATAATATCCCCTCGAATTATTCTTATTATCGTGAACCGTCAATACATCCCAAAGGAAGGCACGACCAGACTCCCGGTACCCCGCGTCCCTCCAACCCTCCAACCCTCCAACCACGATGCCACAACCCCTCCTAGTCGGCATATCAGGCCCCTCCTCCTCAGGCAAAACAACCCTGTCCCGTCTCCTCCGCGACATATTCCCCCCCTCCAAACTCTTCATCCTGCACCTCGACGACTTCTACCTCACCGACGCCGAGATCCCCGTCAAGAACTCTGTCCAAGACTGGGATTGCATAGAGTCGCTCAACCTACCTGCGCTCAAACAAGCACTGCAGCACATCAAAGAACATGGTAACAGCCCAGAATGGCTGGTCAGTCAAGAAGATCAGAACAGTGTAGGCGAACATGGTGTACCCGAGGCTGAGATCCAGAGGTTAAGAGATGAGGTATCGGGGTGGTTGAAGAGTAAGACCGAGTGGGAAGAGCGACGGATATGTGTTGTTGATGGGTTTTTGCTGTTTTCGCAGGATATGAAGGATATCCGTGAGATCTTTGATGTTAGACTCTTTTTACGGACGAGCTATGAGACTGCGAAGCGGAGGAGGGAGGCGAGGAGTGGTTATGTGACGCTTGAGGGCTTCTGGCAAGATCCGCCGGGTTATGTAGATGATATTGTGTGGCCGAACTATGTGAAAGACCATAAGTTCCTGTTTAAGAATGGGGATGTGGATGGAGAGTTGGATAAGAAGGTTTGCGAGAGCGTTGGCATATATGGCATGCCGAGAGAAGCGGAGGGCGATATGACGAGGTGTTTGCATTGGGCTGCTGGGTTATTAGAGGACGTCATCAAGAGGACATGAGCGCTTTCTGAGTCTGTATTATTATACTTGTATCCATGTCACTTTGGAGCTTGACAACTCAAAAACTGCATACCCCGACCCCGTACCTGATTGTTACTACTCAAGAACGCCAGTGCGCCATTAGACAATGCCCCAACCCACCAGCCATGCAGAAGTGATGATACACAAATGTCAAAGCGAAACGGCCGACTCGTCAAATCTTGAAGTCACCGCCTTCCTAGGTGCTGGACTTGACCTTGTCGATGTAGGCCTGACCCGGGCTCTCATAGGTAGGCACAAAGAAGGTGTTGATCTGCGCTTCCTTGGAGAGCCACGTCGTCATCTGGCTAAGCTCCTCGCGCAAGCGCGTGACAGCCTGGTGGTCCATGTTAGTTTGCGCGATGAGTTCGGGCATGGTGACTGTGAAAGCCTTGTTAGCAATTTTCACATCTAATAACTCATATATGCATACCCAGAAGACGCAGAAGATGCTCGCCGCCATAGATGTCAGCCAGCGGCTTTGCTGCAAGATCATCCGTCGGCGAATTGACGCGCGTCCAGATGTCGTAGAACTGCTCGCGCTCAAACCGGTACAGAAGAAGGCGCCCGACGCTCTTATTGAAGTACTCCTTCAGTCCAGCTATGACTTCCTCGAGGATGTCCTGCTCGATGCTGGTGCGGTTGCTGTTGTCTTTGACATGCTTCATGTACTCATCCAGTATGACGCCTGCAGGGTAAGCTGAAGGCAGCTGAACCAGCTGCAGGTTCTTAGTGATGTTCTCCCAGTCGTCGACTAGGAGGCTCTTTAGCCGATCTGGCATGTAGATCCTAACAGCCAGCTTGTTCTGGAATGCTTCTTCCTAAGGGGAGTTAGAGAGTGAGTTGCTAAGCATAGAACGAATTGCTGGAATACACACCTTCTCTAAGTCATTGTCCCGCACCCTCTTCTGACCGCGTGGTGCAGCAGTGACGGAGGTTTGGCGCTCTTCGCTACCGCGCGCCGAACCTTGAGCCTTCTTTTTCGCAGGTGCGGGCTGGGCTCTTGCGGCACGCTGGGCTGCCAGCATCTCGTGCCTGAGGTTATTGGCCAACTCTCGGTTCTCGGGAGACAGCTTGCGAAGCCGGTCCTCAGGAACCCAGTCGTCCCAGCTGCGATGCGTTAGCTTGCGATCTCAAAAGCAAGCCGCGGGTTTTTGAGTTTTGAGGGGCCGATTTGAAATGATGTGCCGCTGCGAATGTGTAGTAAAGGTGTAGTACATGGGCACGAGTGAAGTGTATGCAGAGGCAAACGTGACTTCCGCAGTGGGAGACGGAGTGACAAGCAGGCGGGCGCAGACTCCAACGGATCAAAGATACGTACGTGTTCTTCCAGCCCTTGTAGTGGACTCTGTATTCGAAGCCATTCTTCTTGTCTTCTTCTACAGGCCTGACTTCGAGCACCTTGGCCTCGTATAGCAACTCATGGTGGAAACAAAAGACTTTTTCATCTTTCTTGAAGGAAGGCTCCGGCGCAGCTGCGGGCGCCATGATTGCGATGGAATGTGATGAAATTGATGTTGATGGGTTTGGTAGTCAGGAAGGAAGCGGTAAGGGTGCGAGAGATTGCACGTCCACGTAGCGCGTCTTCGTGCCAGCCTTGGTGTTCAACAATAAGGACGATACTTTGCGCCGCAGAACTGCAGTGATGGTTGCCTGAATACTGGACAAAGTCGACAAGCTTGGTGAAAGACGGTTCAGTCGACGTTTGCTTGGAGTCGTCCAGGCACGTCTCACGGGAGTTTTCTGGGCACGGGCCACAACGCGTCGTCGCGCGTTCCGATGGCCCTCCTTCATTGGCGCATCCACCACCAACACTGCTGTATCAATCATATACGTGGGCACTGTCCGGCCTGAAATCGACATCTACTACTCTAATCATGCCGTCGCAAGAGGCCAAGATCCTCGGTGACTTCCTCCTCGCACCTGCTCCCTTACGCGACTTCACCACCCTACGCGACTTCACCGACATCTTCCCCCGCGCCCACCGCTCCAACCCCGCTGTACAGGAAATCTATCGAGAGCTTCAGCACATACGCGACAGGGACATCGAGCTGATTCGCCAGGACATTATCGATGAGGTCAAACGGTCCAAGCAGCTGAGGCGGGAGTACGCCCGGGAAAGACGCCACGTAGACGATGCAACCGTCGCCGGACTGGACCCGATTGCGCTTCAAATGGAGCAGGAGGTACTGCATCAAGGAAAGTGACTCCCTAGATTGCGCTGACAATCACCAGCTCTCCGACCAAAGTCGCAAGAAACCGCACACGCTACAGACGGTCCACTCCGACATCGAAGAAGCATGCCAAACCCTCGAGGCCCAGATCGCAGAGATGGAGCAAGAGAACAGACGGGCTTTGGCTGAGGTCAAAGACGTTGTTGGCGCCCTCAGTGAGCTGCGACATGGCCGCTTCGCACCGTCGCCCAGCGGAGAAAACATTGGAGAAGAAGTCATGGCCACGCTCAAGCAACTTGAGGCTGTGTGCGATAAACCGGCTGGATGAGAATTGCGAATATCCGAGCATCGTCGTGACGAATGCACTGTACAAACATGAGGACCATGCTAGCGGTCGAAAGGTTCAGTCTTCGACTTGGATCACACACTGCCTGAGCTGGTAAAATTGCGCATTACCGCCCAAGGCTATCGACCGCAAAACGAGGTTACGCTTGCGCAGTTTTTATGCCGGTCAGGGAAGTAGTATGTCTACAGAGACGTTTGTGCGATCCCGCACTACGCCGAGCAGTAGACGCCACTCTTCAATCGTTGACAGGAACAACACCAGCACTAGGACAAGGGATCCAGATCATCCCCGTAGATTTGGATCAAAGGATATCCTGCGACGTATCGCAGCACGTCGCAGTGCTTCCTGTCCACACCCGAATCATTACCAAGGCTATGTATCTAGGATAAAGTGAGCGCACAACGTAGCTGCCACTCCCATCCGCCGGACTTGCGCACGACGACTCTGATACATGGTTTCATCCGATCCTCATCGCGGCAAATATCATACCATAATATCTTGCCAATACCCGATGCGACGCTTGCTGTGCTTATTCTCCGGTGCATCAACCACGCGTCTGTATCCCCGTTAGCCAGGACCATCACGAGCACAAGACAGCGTGACAAACCCAGTACGAACTCCAGAAAACATACCCTGTCCACTTCCATCATCCCGCCGTCCAGGTTAGCGACCCCGCGTATACTGCCTGCAAGCACGCCGTGATTGGCTGCACGCACCACCGCAATTAATCTATCCATATGAACATTGTCAATCCCGCAAGTATCAACATCTAGTCCGCCGTTACAGAGATCTGTCTATAGCAAAACTTCTACACGTGTTCAGATCAGGATGATTGTCTTATACCGCGTCGCAATGCAATTCCTTTCCGTTGTCTTGTCGTCCATGCCATATTCGCAAAGATGCTCCTCCCATCCTTCCTGACACTATCACTATCCCTCATCGCCTACTCTCCCCTCGCCTCCGCCTCCGCCTCCTCCTCCCTCAGAATCACCTCCTCCAACCACTCCTTCGGCGGCGTAAACTACCCCCAACTCCAATTCTTCACCCCCTCCCACCGCGACGCCACAATCCGCGAAATCATCAAAAGCGGCGCCCGCGTAATCCGGCTCTTCATCCGCCCAGATGCCCAACACCCAGATCCAGAAGGCGAACTAGGCGGCTTCGACAAGTCGCTGCTCGACCAATTCGATGACACGCTAGCAGCCATTCACCATTTGTCGAAAGGCCAGATGAAAGTCATCATCGCACCGCACGACGCACATGCGCTTCGGGGTACAAATGATGTAGCCTGCGACGCCTACTGCCAGAAACTCAACGGCGCGTTCCTCGATTTCTACAGCAACGAGGAATATCGCGACATGTACAAAACACGTCTCAGTGTCTTCTTCAACCACTACCCCTCCAAGAACTTTGACGGCCGCCCC